TGCCCAGGCAATCTTGTGCTTGAACAAAAAAGTTCTCGGGCCGCGCCGGCCCGGGCCGGCCCGGCGGCGCGGCCCGAGAACTTTTTTGTTCAAGCCCGAGCCCGGCCCGGGCCCGAGAAAATACGTGCTACCCGGCCCGAGCCCGGCCCGCGGGCCGGGCCGGGCTCGGGCTTTCGGGCTGGCCCGGGCCCGTGCAGTGCTCTAGTATCCATACGTCCCACAATATCCGTGACGAAAACAGTTGAACACGAACTCCAAGAAGACGCGCTCTGTCGAGAGAGAGGTTGATCGATAATCGACCAGAGTCATTGTTGGCTAGTTGTCACACATGTCACTCAAACCGTAGCAGGACTTGTTCCGCGAATCCACATAAATGCCGTAGTACCAAGCAAACACAAAAAACAAACACTACCCGAGACTGCGGTGATTACAGAAACACGACGGGAAGAAAGAAACAAGTCTCAAAAGTACCACACACGAGAGCAGCGGCGACGAAAGGCGTTGTCGACCCATCTCTCGCTCGTGCGCGATCCCTGCAGCAATGACTGCATATTTTTTCGGTTTCCTTCCCTTCTGAAATGTCTCGGCGTTCCTTTTCAGACAATCAGCAGCTCACGCACGACGTAAATTTATCTGAATCGGAGCGCGTATCAGCGAAGATGTCGCATCGGAGCCGGTTCATTCGAAAAGTGTGGGGAGCTGCGGGACTGCACGTAATCCCGCAGTTACGGGGATACTCATAAATGTAAATTTGGTACTTTCAACCTTGGTAACGCGTTGTATATTACGTTTGTATTATATATATATATTAAATTGTACCAGACTGCGCTTTAAAGCATATATAAATGTCGGATAAATGCTAACGAACACCACCGCGCCGCGTGACAAGAAACATTTTTTCCCGTCGATAACAGATAGTTTTTCACGTAGTTGCGCCATCCTTCCTCCGACGTTGTGACGTGACCATTCGGAGCCCTACGGCCTTCTTCTCTCGGAGGTGTTGCCTCCTGCCGCTGAATTTGTTTATGGGCGACGTGACACGAAGTTGCGACGTCATTTTCTCCGCTAAATTTAACGGGGAAACTGAGTTGGTGTTGAGGTCACGTGACGTGAATGTTCCGGCTAAATTTAGCGGGGAAACTTAAGCCTCTAAACTTAGCGGGCAAATTTAACCCGCTAAATCTAGCAGGAAAACTTTTCCGTTACATTTAACGGGAAAATTTCTTGGCTAAATTTAGCGGGAAACTTAACCCGCTAAATTTAGCGGGGAACGGTGACGTCCCATAATGCAACGCGCGCGGTTACGCCCACGCCGACACCGACGCCGCTCAACCCGGTAACGGGCGCCTGAGAGCTGCGCTCTAAAAGAAATACAAACACCATCACGCCCAGAGCCACCCTCGCTAAACGCGGCCTGAACGGGCTCCTGGACCCGCTGTGACTAGCAGCGCCACCACAGTCCCCTGTGGCAGAATTGGGCCACACTCCATGTACCCACCTCTCATGGAGAGTGACGCAGTCGGCACACTTCACAGTTGTAGTACACTCGAAGAGTGCTCCAGCGTACCGAATTCCCACAATCATAGCTATGATTATGTGATTATGCTCCCCTTGTATGCAGCGTTGTTGGAGGTACACTTAGGCAGGAGCGTACTTCTTCATTGTGCTTTGCTTCCGCCAAATTTCGGGCAGATAGAGTAGGTACTCACTAATACCCTAGTAACACGGGCGCTTTGAACTGTCGTTGAGTTCAATCACAGTTATTGGTCCCAACTGTTATTTAACTGAACTGAACTGAACTGGGATGGTGCTACACGGCTCTTTAAAACCCAGTTGAAGCTAAAACGAAACTAGTTATTGTGCCACGTGATCAGTCTACTTGTTAATGTAATTCACTTGGAAACACACCTTTTATATATTATAAGTGTATCGTACAAATATGTTCAATACCTTCTTTCTTTTTTAGCGGCGTTTACACGAGTACCAAAGGAGATTCAGGGCTAGGTTCCGCATATTTTAGGCTAGGTGGCGCAAGGTACCGCCCGCTACGATGGGTGCACCCATTACTATTGTCCATTTATACAGCTGGTCCCTCCGCCATCTTCGCTCGTTTTGTGGCTTGCCGGCTAACCGGGATCGTTTAAGCGGCAGCTCGGACGCCTAAAGCTATTCCTTTGCGGATATTTTGCTGTTATACGATTCTTTCTAGACGCCTCCCCCTGCATTCCGAAACAGTAAGTGCCTCGCAAACGATGGCCGGCGGCAGCGGTCTCGCGTACAGGTGCCATTTTACCTCTGTTGGGGGAAGTACGTTCAGTTGAACTGAGGTAAAGGAGCTGAGTTGAACTCAACTGTCATTAGCGGCTCGATGACAGTTGGCGCCGCCGTGAAACGCCGGCAGATTGCGATTGAGCCAACTGTCGTTGACTCAATGGCAGCTGAGAGCGCCTGTGTAACTAGGGTAGAATCCAGTGCATTGCGCCCGTAACTCTATGCATCCCCACTGTTTGCAACTGGTGTGTAATCGAGTAATTATCGCCACTGCCCATCCCGTTGAAGGCAATGGACCTTTTGGCAAATATGTGCTGCCACCTATGGGGCGATGGACGAACCTGAGGCGCACTGGGTTGGAGAGTATTTGTAGAGAAAACAACGTCCACGTTAGGCTTCTTGTGTGCTACCGGTTCGTTTTCTTTTGCTGCTCTTAGTTTTCTTTCGCTGCTCGCATTTATACATCGGCCAAACTGGCCGATGTATAAATGATAGAGCAAGGGAGCACGCAGCCTCGGTGAGAAGCACATGAGCAGGACATTTGTCAGCTCATTGCCGGACCTGTGGATGCGATGCCGAGCTCACCAGCATAACCGTCCTTCATAGGAACAAGAACTCCTTCGCGCGTGAAATGCTGGAGGCCTTGGCCATCGAAGAAAAAGGAGAAGATTGCGGTCTGCCACAACCCAATGAATACTAGGCTAAAAGGTTTTTATAAGTGTTTATTATGCCGTTAGACGAAGAAAAAGAAAGAAAAAAATGCTGCGGGGAAGAAGACAAAGTAAAATTCAGTTGATAGTCAGCGTTGTCTTTGTCCAGTTCTTTCCTTCGTGTCCTTGTTTTTTCGTGTTCAGCTGACCTGATTGCCAACAAAAGGTTCTCACCTTGGGTTGATGATCTGGAGGACCAGCGTTGAAACCGACCGAGGGTTGACGGCCGTGGATGCGAGTAGCTAAACAGTGTAGGGACATAGTCCGGGTTGTGCCTTGTCTAACGCCGGCTGTGATCATCGCCGCACTTCGCAAAGCTCTATCGCTTGCAAAAATTACAAGTCAACTTACCTGTAATAAAATGGGCGCTACATAGTCTGGACAGCTGACTCGGCTTCCAGTTCTTCGAGGGGTCGGACTTGTCAGCTCTCCTGACTGCACAAATCCAGGCTGCCTGCTTAACGGGATGAAGCTTAGCACGCGGGAAGCGAAAAAAGCTAGTTCCACAACCCGAGCGATAATAGCTCCGACAGCCGAAGGCTACACAGTTCACCGGCATGATTGCGGCGCACGTCGTAATCTAGAACGGGCGTCGTCAGTACGATGACTCGTGGTCACCTTGCTCGCAGCATCAAAACTTGAGTCTCGATGGTCTCCAAGGGATTCAAGTCGGGCTACCCGGTCAACAAGGGCAGCGGGAGCACCAGCGATCGTAAGCCATCGCTGTTTCGTGCGCCAAAGGAGGAGTCGCTCAGACTACAGTGGGAACATAATCTTAATCGAGAAGATAAACGCCTCGCCAAGACATCAGCAGTGTGAGACAAACATTTTTAACCGCGCCTTATCCTTCGGGAATATGTGCACATCGTCAATAGCGAAGAGGTTAAAATTCTATGCCGCAAATAATTATCACTATTTTCTAGTCTTTTTGCGTAGTACGTTGCTGGATATATGTCATGTGCTTGCTGTGTATATCGATGAACTGTATTACCACTTTTCGCAGCTCAAAAATCAGTGCGTTGGGAATAATGTTTATTCATATCTGGGGTTATTGCAGTTCATGTTTATATTGTATTTTAATGCTTCATGTACTCCCAATCGAGGTTGTTTTGTTTCATAGACTGCCTTCCAAAAAAAAACAATTTGTTATATGTTCGCCAGTTGCAATGGCACCTTGGCCGCTCCCAAACGCGCTCGGCCTTCCACCTTACACAACACTGGTCCCCGCATCAGCAACACGATGCCAAAAAACAATACACCAGTTTGTTGTTCCGCTCACCACTAAAAAGTGCAGAGGCTTATTGAGAGGTATTAGTTTATTTTCTCTTGTTATATCAGTATTGCGTAATTTCTTTCGCAGCTATTAAGCGTGCAGCCCAAGTGATAGCTTTGCTGAACGACCTGTCAGCACTGGGAAGAGGAAAGGGGGAGGAGTCGATTATAATAAAAACAATTCTCTCAAAAACACGTGAATATTTAAAGTAGAGGATAGCACAGACTCTAGAGGCATTAGTCGAAAGGAAGACCTGACCTACAATTTTTCACATTAGCAATTACTCTGCGTCGCGAAAAGCTCCAGACGAAACACAGAAGTACACGTCGAGCAGCGCCGACGACGAAGCTGACGGGAGCACGTTCTTAGGGCTCAGAAAACAGCAACGCTACGGTGTCGTCTACGCGCAAAATCTTCACGGGTTGGCCGCCGCTCTTGCATCTACAACTCTCTAGAACACTGTAGTTACGAGATACGAGATTGTCAGCTAACATCAACCAGCCATTTCACCTTGCGATACTTGGTAGCACGCTACTCAGCACTGCTCCTGATAGTTGGACGTTGATATCCACTAATCCTTCGCAACCGGCCGATGCTCGCTGAGGATGCTTCCTCTAGACACCGGTATGACGCCTGCGTATAAAGTCATTGGCCGTCCGCGCCTGTGGCTTCGTTCGCTTTGTCCACGGCCGTACACTATCAGTCGGCAACTCAGCAAGAAGACTGCCCCGATGCTAGGCGGTCGACTATCCGGCAAGAGACTCAGCTTGTCCAGTTGGAGCAAGATCTGCGCTAGCAGCACGCAACCCAGACTCTGCAACTCCGGCTTCACGAGCCATAGCGTGGAAGGACGATTTTGAATCAGCTAATAATGCTGCCGGACTACCTACTTCAATCACCCTTCCTTGATCCAGCACAACAATGCGATCCGAATTGAGAACAGTGTCAAGACGATGAGCTATAGTCAGGACAGTGCAACCACTCATCAGGTCTCTCAACGTCTGCTGAACGAGCAAGTCTGTCTTCATGTCCACAGATGCAGTGGCTTCGTCAAGGACAAGTATTTTCGCCTTTCTTAACACAGCCCTCGCTAGACAAACCAGCTGCCTCTGTCCCACGCTGAGGTTTTTTCCACCGTCTAAGATTTCGAAGTCTAGACCACCACCTTTCCTGAAGGCATCTCCGAGGTGAGCTTTTTTCAGTGCCGAACACAACTCTTCAGCATCATGCTGCCCGGCTGGGTCAAGGTTGAACCGCAGAGTACCACGAAAAAGAAATGATTCTTGGGGTATGATGGTTATTCTAGAACGGAGGTCTTGTAGTCCTAGTGCTGCAATGTCCACGTCATCCACTACAATCTTTCCTGCTGCTGCCTCAATGATACGAAAGAGGCTCAAGGCTAGTGTTGACTTACCGGCGCCCGTTCGTCCTACGATTCCTATTTTCTCACCGGGCCTGACGTAGAGATCTACATCCCTGAGAGTCAGGTCCAAACCCTGCCTGTACCGAGTCGAGTAAGACTTAAAAGACACAGCACCCGACGCGGGCCACTGCGGGTCCGGTCTGACGTGGGACACCCAAGGCGCTTCGGGAGTGAGACGACTGTACTCATCTAAACGTTCGGCTGATATTAAAGAGGCCTCAAACTCAGTTGAGTACAAAACAAAGTATGTGAACGCGAACAAAGAATTCAGTGAGTACGACACCAGAAGGCCAGCTGTTCCCGCTCCAATATTGTCACGACTGTGAACGAGTAGCAACAGCATCGAAAACAAAAGCACTTCACTAGCAATTTCCAACCAGACTTGTATCCAGTACAAAACAAAAAGGCAGTTCACAGTACAAGTTTGCATATTGTCAATCTTGTCGTCATTGTCTCGAAGGAAAATACCCTGAACGTCATAGCTCCTGACACTACTCAAGCCCGCTACTGTTTCTGAAAAGTGGCTGTTAACAGGAGAACGCGAAACGGTCTCAAGTCTCTTCACATCACGAAATAGAGCCACGAACATTTGACGGAGAACAAACAGGAAAACCATAACAGCAGCGACGACCAGGATGTACATTGGAATATTTATGCATACGAGTAAATTTGATGATGCCAGAAGAAACAACAAATCGAGTGTATTATGACCTGCTGTTGGAAGTTGTAGATCAAGCTGGTCAACGTCCTTGCTGAAGCGGTTCAATAAGCGACCGGACGGATTGGTTTCAAAAAAGGACAACGGGGCCCTCATCACACCGTGGAGTGTCGATTCATGAAGCCTTGTGGAGGCTGTGAGCGCCACCCTCCACAAGGATATGACTGCGAGGAAAGTAGCAATCGCCTGGACAGCACAAAGGAGGATGTAAACTTCGATCCTATATCTTTGCTTCGATATGTACTGGTTTCCGTTAAAAAAAAGTGAATCATTGGTCCATTCACACAGCCAAATGGCAATGTACGTATCGAGTGCTATGTAAATGGCGTAACACAAAACCACGATTATTAACGAAGGCCCAGCGTACCTTATATAAGTTCTGTATACCTGGAGACTGATTGAACCCTCCTTCGTTATTTCTCTTTTCACAAAGGTCGCCTCCAATCCTTTTTTCTCCAGTACAGTCGCTGTGTCTTGATATGCCAATAGATCCTCGTTCTCTGTCAATTTCTTCACTTTTTTGGAAAAGTTTTGCAACAATCTGGAGAAAACACTTCCTTCTTGTTTAAGGCCTTCAAAGGTACCAGACTCAACGATTGAGCCTTCCTGGAGGACGAAGATGTAGTCGACTTCATTGAGCATCGAAAAGTTGTGGGTGACCAAGATTCTTGTGGTTTCTTTCAGCAGTCCTTGCGGTCCGATGAGGTTCTTGAAGAGAGAAGCCCCGACATGAGCATCCACTGCGCTTAGTGGGTCATCCAAAAGATAAAGTTCCTTCTTCTGGTACGCGGCTCTTGCGAGACTAACCCGTTGCTTCTGACCACCGCTTAAGTTGATCCCTCTCTCCCCGATTTCCGTCAGGTCTCCACACGGCAGAATCTCTAAATCTTTCTCAAGCGAACACGCCTTCAAAACCAACTCGTACAGTTTGGCATCAAAGGCACCCATGAAAAGCACATTTTCTCTTATGGTTTTGTTTTGGATCCAAGGGCACTGAGGGGCATACGCCACACTTTCTGTGCAGCTCACAGATCCCGAGAAAACTCGAAGGTTTCCCAAAAATGCGGACAGCAAGGTCGACTTGCCCGAGCCCACGGATCCCACAACTGCGACCAGTTGACCTTTTTTGACGGTCAGGTTAATGTTGGTCAAGACCGGGGCTTTGTCTTTTGACCAGGAAAGTGATGCATTCCTTACTGAGACAGCGTAACCCTCATCCGGTCGTCTTCCCACGGAACAGTCATCTACTTCGGAGGAGAGCAGAAACTTTCGTATCCTGATCATTGAAACGCTCGTCTGAACCACCTTAGAAATAATGTCTGGAATTATAAATATCGGGTACTGCATATTGTTGAACAGTGCCATCGACACAAACGCAGTGCTCGGGTCAAGAACGTGATCGTTGCTGGTCAACACGTAGGTTACGAAGCTAGCGAAAGAAACCATCGCTGTCGAACATGTAAGAATGCAGGTACTCACCGCTGTCACGCAAGAATATTTCTTGAGAAAATCCATTTCTTTTAACCGCGAGGTCGTGCACTTGTCAATGAAAATGTTTTCCCAGGCAAACAGTTTGAGAAGCTTCGCACTGCTTAGCATTTCTGCCACAACTTCGAGCCTCTTATCTTTAAGCTTCATATGACCTGCTTGGTACTTGTTCCCGATGGTAACCGCGAGGGCTCCTATAGGCATGATGACCAGCATAACAGCGACGCCAGCAAGGCAGGCCACTCCAAGGTATTGCCACAGAAGTATAACCGCGATTATGATCATAGGCACTCCTGTGACCCCATAAGATGAGACGACACTGAGTTGGTAAAGCCGATCGGCATCCACGAAAATCAAATTAACCAGATCCCCCAATGTGTAGTTGATCTGCGACTCGCTAGAAAGCATAAGTGTCTTTCTGTAAATGGCCGCCACCATGACGGTTTTTGCATTTAGACCAATAAACGACAGAATCATGTCGACATGAACGCCAAGAAGGCGCGACGTAAAATTGGCGCTCACTATACCGAGGGAGTACAAGACTCCTTTCCACTTAGGATCGGTTCCAACCATAAAATCCAAAAGAAGGTGCAACAATAAGGATGGAATTATTTTTAGTACGGCTCCCAACGTTGAAAAAATTACCGAAATTGCCAGAGGCTTCCAATATGCTTTCCAGATTGGCTTGAACATTGAAGGCAGCGGTTTGGAGACATCACAGGATCCAGCTTCCGCTACGTATCCAGAAGATCGCAGTTCCTTTCTCCAAAGTGCACTCCATTTACTATGGTTTCGCTGAGTCATCATGTCTTGTGGTATGCTGTAGATATCTTCAACCTGAAGACATCTTCGTGGCCCTCTAAGTATGAGAGGTGACACCCAACCAAAGAAAATGAAAGACACAGGTGGAGCAGTGAGGTAGGGTCGTCTTGTGTCTTGTCTGACGTCTGTCACACATGACAGCAAGAACTGCAAAAGAACGATAGGATACGCTATAACACAAGCGTAAAATTCGAGTTCCTGGAAGTCAGGAGGGTCGCCGAGCGACGCAAAGGCTTCCAGTATGCGCCGGAAGCACTCAGGAAACTTGCAGAGAACGGTTAGCAACCAAAAGAAAAACAGCCCCATCGAAGATCCACTTCCGTTCTTTCGATCAGTCTCCTGAATGAGCATTGTGATCGTGAAGGTGATTATATGTACAACATCTGCCGTCACCGATGATCCGTTGTATGCCCCAAGGACCAGTCTGTATGCGAGCGAGATAAAGTAAGTAAGGGTCAACAAAAGACTGGCGACAAACTTGAACAGACACAATGGAGTCCAGGAGAGTGGCTCACAGTAAAGGGATTGCTTTTGCCATCGTCCCACCAGACACGGGACAAGGGCGAAGGACACAAGAACAGTTGCTGGCGTGTAAACAAGAACTGTAGACTCGAAGCACGGTGTAAGCCTTGGGTATTCCGAGTACCAGGTATAATTCCAGTCCCACAAAGGCACAGTGCAAAAGGGAGTCATCACTCACTCGTAAGTTACGCAGCAGCCTTTGACGATCCCCCTCTTTCAAGTAATAACAGCTTAGAAGGGCGCAGTTAGTCCCGAGGTCGCGCGCTAGCCACTGCATAAACACTGGCCACGAAATAGAACGAATGCAGCTGCCAAGTGATAAATCTTTGTGAACATCGACTCCCAAAAAATTTATGGTTGATATGAGCGGATGTGGCAGATGCCTGGAAAACGTACATCGTTTTAGCGGGAATCCCGTACCCTTTTTCGTAGCTACATAAAACAATACGTAAATAGTATCGCAAATTGCTCTGCTATATATGATACTTTTATACAGTGCAAGCTAGGTCTGTCTTCAAAGTATGGAGATTGTGGTTTACGCTGTACAATCAACATGTAGCCAGTGCGCTGGGGCCTTTGACGAGCATCACGAAGTAGTGGTACCTGAACACACAGTGGTACGATGCTCAGCCGGATCAAAAGGGGCGGGAGTGGAAAAAAAAGCCCAGGATCCCTGGGATCTGCAGCGAAAACTTTCACTCTACGTGCTCGCAGCTGGTGTGCGCTGACGCATTCGGGGTCACCGATCCCCGTTAAATATAAAAACAAAAGATAACCACGTGACATCTGAACTCTACATCCCGTCTATAGCGCCGTGACGCTGAAAACAGTGTCGTGGCGGAACAGAATATTGTAGCTTGGCGCAAAATCGCAAGAAAAAACGTGTTTTTGTATTGCAATGATTTTAGGAAAAAAAACAAAAACACTGATGCTCAGGACTCGAGACTTGTGATGGTGTCAACGTCCTTCCCACCTGCATAAGTGCTTTGTATTTTGGTAGTCGCATACAAGGAAAAAAGAAGTTTCTGATAGTGTTTTGTGCAAAACACCCTGGAAAAATTGGGGATCCATTTGCTCCTGAGTCTTTATCTTGTTGTGCCTAAGTCCACCTATACATCGTGCGGTTGGGGACGGGTAATTTTCGATTCTGATCATTTCCTTTTCGTCGGCGTGGAGCTGCTATTTTTGATGGGGCTGCAATTGTCATTTTCTAATTACTAATAATTTATTTGTTTATTTATTTAAATACCCTCAGGGCCAATTGGCAATAATGGTGTGAGTAAGAGGAAGAAAATTAAACACAAAATAATAAGAGGACAGAGTACATAAGGTACCTTGGCGGCTCACGACAGGAAATAGGGTTTAGATCATTTTCAAACATTTCGGTATCAACAATACAAATTACGGAATCAAAATCTGATTCCATCCCAAAGAAGTTTTAGAAACGAATTACAGTAGAAATTAGTTAGTATTACATTTACAAATTTCAAATTTGAGGTGATGATTGATGCGAGGTGAAATGTAGAAAGGTGGGATGAAAAGACGTCGCTTTAAGTATGGGTTAGCATGATAGGTCTTGTGAAAAAGACATAAACAAGAAACTTTACTTCGGAGCGAGAGGTTAGGCAGAGACAATGTGATATCGATGGAGCTTACACTTGCAGTACGAAGATAATTACATAGAATAAAGCGGTCAGTACGGTGTTGGATCGCTTCCAGAGCATTAATTAGATCAAGCTCACTGAGATCCCAGATAGAAAAAGCATACTCTAATTTGGAGCGAACAAGAAAGTCATACGATGTTAATTTTGAAGGCTGACGGTGCGAGGGCAAGTTTCTTTTCAAGCAATTTAGCATGTGTGACATTCCCATTTGTGATTTGGGCTGCCGTACAATGTTGACGACCATCCCGGCCACCGCCCACAAGCCTATCCCGGCAAAATCCCTGTCCTAACGTTCCTAATTACCTGACTTTGCTTCCTCATGTTCAAAACCTTGCCATCTGCATCACCGTCAATTGCACTTCCCCAGCGGCTTAATATTCGCCCGTTCAACGCCTTCGAGATGACACTATTACGTTCTATTTTTAGATAAAAAATTGTGGGATACTTCAGACTGCTTACCTGCAATAATGCGAAAGCATATGCGTGGAGGAATGTGAAAGCATAATATACAGGAATGTCAACGACGGCGTCTAGGAAGACGCCGATCACGACGTCAAGAACGGTGTCTAGGACGACCTCTAGGACGACCTTTAGGATGGCGTATATGACGACGTCGACGACGACTTTCTAGAGATCGACGCCATGTAAGGCTTCTAGGACAACCTCTAAGACGACGTCGAGAACGACGCCTAGAGGAGGACACTTAAGGAGCTGTGGCGTATTTGCGTGGGCTGCCACGTTTGCCTGCAGAAGCCGCCGTGGATGTAGACGTGGTCGCGTCACGATCTATCGCACGAAGCACACAACGAATACAGGTGAAGTCCGAAGCGCACCTTTTACCCACTGCGCTGCAGCGGTGACATCACGCTCCCGCCCTTGAGCGTGAGCGGCACGTGCTTAATGGCGTATTTTTATGGCCATTTTTCGGGCACAACGACGCCGCTTTTTCGCGTAATGAGACAAGTAAGGGTTTCGCCTGAAAAACCATAGTTTTGTTGAGCACTCGATTTTCATCCAAAACCAATACACCTGCTTCAGTGTCGATATTAAGTCACATTAGAATTCCCTTCACGAATAATATTATTTCTAACGGATCGCTTCGAACGCTTCTTAGCTAATGCATTTCCTTTTTATTTTATTTTTTATCGGACCCTTCCGCAACTACAGCCTTCACTTTTTTTTTCTTTTTTTCTTTTTTGACGCTTATTGAAGTTTTTAGCCGCCTGTACCTGCCCCGATGGAGCTGTGCTTTGGTAAACTTTCTCTAGATACCCGGCCTTTCAGCATCTGAAATGTGTTCCTGTGTTCCTGTGTCGCTGAGTACCTGAGGTCTGAGTCCCGCGGCGTGTTGGGTGCGGCCCAGGAGACAGAAAGTAAAAACTGCTGCATGGTCACCGAGACAATGTTGGACATACACAGCATGAACCAAGCGGTTGTCCCGGTGTCCGGGATGTCGCTATGGTTTTTGCATAGTGTGCACTGTGCGGTGGACGCAGGCGTCATCTGTCATCCAGCCATCAAGCTTAGACCAATACCCCTTCTTTTCTTTTTCTTTATTTTTCGTCGTTATTTCTCTCTCTTTTTCTCCCGGGAGCCCCTCCTTTTACTGACAATATTCTGCGTCTTTATTTTTTTCATTCGAGTGTCTTCCTCGTTTAACAGTCAGTACTTCTCAGTCTTTCTCTCACATAGCAATAAACTCCAGTGGTAAATAGCGTTCTGTCTTGTCTCTGCGTTTTGCCTCCCCTGTCTTTGCGCTAATTAGAACGAGAAGTTTAGCCAACTAGCCCACCAGATGATTTTAATGTGAACGAGCGCACTTTGTCAAATATTCCGCGGACGAGAGCCAGTGCACACTCAGTCTGCTGTCTACAGCCCAGTAGATATGGATTCCAATGTGGACACCGCGCTATTAGGTTGGACGTTTCCTTTGAGATCGCCGCCGCTCTTGAGATAACCCTTTGGTTACTCTATCGGTACCTCTGTTGGTAGCTAATAAGCAAAATCCCACAAACTTTACGTGATCTGAGCTCACGTCACGTGACCCATACACGAATTTAGTTTTCCCGCTATATTTAGCGCGGGAATTGAAAGAAATATATTTTCTTTGCTACAGAAAACGTCTAATATATTGTAAACAATATATTAGACGGGAGGTGCATACACCAACTCATGTTTACAAACAAACCGGAGCGCCCCCAGCGGACGCCAGCGGCGTCGCGCATGCGCGATGGGGGTGTGGGCAAGAAGCTCGCCGTCGCCCATAAACAAACCTTTGAAATGCGATGTTGTCGGCGTCGGTGTGAGTCCCCCTGCTCTTTTTCGCGTTCGAATTGTTGATTCTACGTCTTCCTCGCGATGTCTGACTACTTGAGCGGCGTCAGCGAAATCATCGAGGCTTGTTACACCGCGAAACGTCACGTGAAAAATGTGACATGCGGCGATTCATACCGCGTGGACGCCGAAGAATGGACGCTAAAGCCTGATTCGCATGATGAGATTTCGCTCGCAATTTTCAGTCGCGACGCCGCTCGGGCTGCAAAAGCGTGAACCGTAGCTCAGATGGTCGACGTCGATACTGAAAATCGCAAGCAGAATCGGACCAAGTAAATTAGGCATAGCAAGTCAGTGATGGTCACTCGTAACAATGATCAACATTTTCTTGTATTTACTGTTTACATCGAGCCTGCTTACCAACCTTCAAACTTATGTCTTTTGAAGGCTGCACCGGGCCAACATTTAATCTACGGGCCGGCGTCGTCTAAGAGAGCAGACGACGAGCAGAAACGTTTGAAAGAGCAGACGACAGTTCGAACGATCAGGCGGCCGTTTGAACTTGAAGACGCACTGAACGTAGTCCTCAAATGGTCCGCACAACTTGGAAGTTTCCTGGCGTTCATGTTGGCATAAAACAAATAAATCTGATGACCACAAGTATCCGTGAATTCAACTCAAAGTGCTTCCCGCCCAAGCAATCGTTGTTCGACGGCGTCTGCTTTTCCCTTTTCACGGCAAATATCCAGGTTCTCGAACGAACCGAGCACGTGAAAACTGACCTTCGAACCTTGCTCGACTCTTTTGGTACGGCCCTAGTCCCGGCATTTTGACGAGAAGGCAGTTTTTTGTCTGGTTCCCTTCAAAACAACGTAGGAATACACGCCTGGCATGAGGACTTCTGCCCACAGCCCCAGACCGGAAGTGCTACTGACGCGCCACCACCGCGCCGTGACGTCACAGAGATGAGTTGGTGTATAAAGTGCTCCCAAAAATACGCTACTTCAGATCTTTATGACCAGAAAAAACAATTGAGCAAGAAATAAAGACAACCCGTACTACTTTTTTTTCTTTTTCTTCTTTTGTTTGGGGGGGGGGGCATCCGCATCCGCATCATCATCGCCACTGATGACGTCATCAGTGACGTCATCGGCATCCGGATTGTCATCGCCACTGATGACGTCATGAGTGACGTCACTGTTGACGTCATCGGCATTCGCATGGTCATCGCCA